CCTCAATAAAGTTATATAAATCTAACTTTACAAGTTAGAATAAGTTTTAGCAATGGCACATGTTCAAAAGCAAAATGCTAGCGGCGAAGTTTAAATAATAAGCGAGTTTTTCATGAGAAAAAAATAGAAAAGCAAAGGATATAAATGCTTTTAGCAGTATTTTCTTCGTTTTATCATATACATTTTGCGTGCATTCATCGAGGTTAAGTTTTATCCGTAACTGAAATATGTAGTTCAAACATTATAGCTACTAACAATGCAAACATTTTAATATGTCTAAATATGAAAAGCAACTGTTTCTAATGCCAATGAGGAAAAAGAACAAAAGCAAAAAATTGAAAATAAAAAGAAATATCAAATTGACTTATTCATTGCTAAATCGTAAATATTCCACGCCGGAATTGAAGAATGTTTTCCCATTTAACCGAACCTCGCTTTAACAATGTCCCGAGATAAAAGCCTAAAAAATTAATTTGAAACCATGTTTTATCGATCCGAATAACAGATCCGTATGTATTTTCAAATATTTATTAATGTTCACCGACAAATCTGCCCTAATGCCGATTCAAGCCCCAGCAAAACTGTTATCCCGAAGGGGTACAAAGAATGTCGGCGCATTTACGAGCTCAGAAAGAGGTGTACACACAACTGTTGTTGTCCGTATGAGCCCTAAGGGATGAATGTAACTCTAGCAATTTATCCTTAAAAACGCTTCGTTGGTGTATTTCCAACAGGAACGATACGAGCTACATAATGAATCAGAATGTACGACCAGGGATCTATTCTTAACGTATTTGGAACGTTTTTCATTGATCCTCGAGAGCGTATTGTTTGGTTGTTATTTAATAAATATAACCGCAACCCAATACAGATCTTCAAATCTGGCGCTGTAGTTCAGTAACTTGATTGTTTGAAGTATGAAAGAAAAATTGCTGATTATTTTTTATCAGCCTATAAAGGCACGTGTTCGGTAACACTTGGAGGCATATAATAAGTAGGCGAAAAGAGTGCGAAATTATTAAGGCACCGCATTATGTGCTCCCCTGGAGAACATAAACAGAATTTTAGGGAGCAGCAGGAAGGCAGCCAAACCACAAATAGGGGAGATTATATTATGAACTTTATCGACTCGATTGGGAAATGCGGAGAAACTTTAAAAGTCACTTGAGGGGATGAATTAAACACGAGTCTAGCTGAGATTCAGTAGGTTAAAAACCTTTTTTAATAGGATTCTTTACTTTATATTTCTTGGTTAAAAATCACTCAAAAACGTATTTGGCTATGTGGCGCTTAGTTTCGTATGCTATTTTAGCTGGGTATTGATAGTATGTAGAGTTTTATACCCAAACAGTTTATGCTTTTCCATTAAAGATTTCTGGTCGTCCATAAAAGTTTAATGCAGCAAAATAATCAATTTTTCAAACTGATAGTTTCAAAGGAGTTTAGTCGCTTAATATGTAAACAGAACTCCCAAAATGCGCTACTTCGTTCCAAACTCTACTACTAATCGTGCTAATCTTAATTATAATGATTCGTTTTGTTACGCAGAATTAATGAATGCGACTAAGCATTATTGACAGTTGTATTTCAGTTAATATGATGGCAAACCATTAATAAGAATAATTTCCTTGACCAACCAATGTAATCTATTTTAAGTCCAACAAATGTTTAAACTGCATTAGCTACAATGCAAAGTACAAGTGCAAGCACTGTGATTTCGAAATCCAACTCAGAATTATTCATATTCAAATAATAAGAATTAATTAATTTTATCTCATTTCATATTGTTATGTACTGTGCATAAATCAAAAACAGTAATTGCTTCTCTGACTATTGAACGAACTTTTTATTTGATTTAAATATCAAATTCACGGATCGCTGCCTGTCAATATCGGTTTAAAAAAATGCCTTAAGCAAAAACGTTCCAGTTATTACTTAAACCGGCTTCTTTTTTCACATTGTCTACCTACCGCAAATTATCGAGACTGAGGAGATAAATCCGAATCACCTTCCATCAACAGAACCAAGAATTACCGAATCGACCCAGTTTCCCGACTTCGATGCAGTAATGTAACACTATGATTAGTGGATATAAAAGAAAAGCTTGTGTCATAACGAGATATATTAGACTAATATTGGAAATTACGCCTCAGTGCATGTACGGGCTGAACAAACGTTTTATGATAAAGATTGCATCCATTTTACAACCAGAGCAAACACTTTGATTTCAAAAATTTAAACTAATGATCGCACTAAACATATGTAATTATATAAAGTTGATTTAAGTAAGTGATTTGATTTAAGATTTGTGATTAGAATATTATTGCCTAAGAATAAATTAAATAGTTTGCAATTTTTTTATATATCTCAACAAATTAGGCAACCGTTTATAATTGAAATTTTTATGATCGGCAATTAATCAACTGTATAATTACACCACGTTTTATATCCCTAACCAGCTGAGGACGTCTGTGTTGATTTCAAATATTCCCTTAAGGGATCTCCTTATATTGGACATCCGGTACGTAACGGTAATTCAATCTGCAAAGTGTAGGCTTGACTATTATTTTGCGCAGATAAAATCGCAAAATTGATCCCTAGACTATTTAAAGCCCACTGGTCGATTTCCAACACTTCCTACTAGAGCAAGGGATGATTGTGGTTAAAAACGGTCACATTCGACGCTTTCCTGCTTATTTTCGTTAAGCTCAACAATTCCACTAAGTTCAAGCAGTTTCTACAAAAGAGGTCGCGCAATAATCTAGGAAGACTAGGAAGAGGTGGAATGCTGTACTGAAGAGTTGGAAACGATACGGTAACTTCTCATCGCAAAAGAGTTTGTGCATAAAAAACTGCTAGAACTTAAATAAAAAGAATGTGGGTATTTTTCCCCACGCAAAAAAAAACATCTTTTCAGGATAAATTTGTCCAAACAACCCATCCGTAGAGGTTGTGGATTCCAGAATGAAACAACTCTACATAAAATATGCTACACTACATATAAAGTGTAGATGTCCTACCAATTGAAGCCTTGAGTTCATTGATTTTAGAGGGTTAGTGGAGAAGTAGAAGAGAAGAGAGCACTATAAGACAGAAATGGTTGCAAGCTACCTCGGCCGTTACGGAAACACAGTAATAGAAGTAATCGAGTCAATAGCTTACCTGGAACTTCAATACGAGCCTCCGACGGGCGCTTAAGAAAACATTTTCCAAACCTTATCTAACAGAATAGCAAACAAAAACAGTTATCTAACAGCGCAAGGTTTTTGCAGATTATTCCGCATAGTATATTTTAATAAATCGATAATATCAAAATGCATTTATAGATTAGCAAATTTCTTAGTCGCTTAGTTTTTAGGCCCATAAATTGGCCAGCGATATTTATTCCAAAGTTCATTGAATTTAATTTGCTATTTAAATCATTTACGTGATCGCTCTAATCAAAAAAATCCTCAATTTCGCACCCTGAGAGACAAGCATTTCTCGCAAGCTTTCGAAATTTCATATATTACTGTGCACAGATTCTTTTGTTCATATCTCACGAACAGATTGAGTGAGCGCACTTATTTCTTTATCATTGGGTAGAGTAAAGAAAAAAATAATTAAAACTATTACGCCTCGCCTGTTTCATCATATCTTAAAACCGTTTGAGAAAAATGATAGATAATTAAATCCTCGATTCATAATATGGAACTTGAGTGAAGAAGTGCTGGCAGTTTTTACGCAAAACGCAAAATTTGTATAGCACACACCTATTTTTTGCTCATGGCACACGAATAGATAGATTCAAGTGATAATTATTATTAGAAGAAGTAAAACATCGCTACGTAAATGTTTGCTAATTTTTACCGGACACGCCAAAATTTTAGAAAAACTGTTAGTTTTGCGCGGTTGAGTTCAACATTGTAAAATTAACTCAAGCAGGAAGGACGTCGCCTATTTTGCTGTAGCTCATAACATTCCTGACCTAATAACTGTTTACTCGACTCAATATTTACGTTCTACATTGCGTTGTTTTGCATACAGTCAAATTTAGGTTGTCTCTAAAAACTGCATAATGCCCTGGTAAAAATATTCTCTTCCTCATCAATTAATTTTGTATCGTCCGCATAACAAGTTAATTCCGAAATTCAGATCATTGAAAAAAGTATGCACGTGCACGTTCCGTGTACCGAAAATCTTAAGTTCCAAATAATAAAACTTCCGGCCCTTAAAAATCTGACTATTTGCGTGTTTCTAACCCCAGACCTTATCAATACAATAGTAGGCATTTAATGAATGTAAAGATATGGGCCAAGAACATTCCATCCCCCTCAAGGCATTGTAGAATTAATTTTGTAAGTTGTAAAGCAACCGTTTTCGTGGATTTGCTGATTGTAGATCGAAGTTTATTGATTCAATAATATTTAATTAAGTAGTGTAACAATTTTCTTTCAATAATCACCTTGCTAGGTTTCGAAACCATTCTTTAAATGCTTTTGGTATAGAATTTTAATTTTTATGGACGTTCCGCCCATTTTTCGTATCTACTCAATTCTAAAACTGGACTAGTCGAGCTTGCGCTCAAAATCTGCACCTGATATTTTTGAAAAACTTTTGCCATCGACCATTGATCAGCAAAGAAAACCGTTATTTCGCATCTATTTGAATAAGCAAAGAAAAATTTGCAGCACGGTTTTCACTTTCTGGATGTTCTCGTTTGCCTGCGTCCAGCGGTTTTCGCCTTAACTTCACTTTCACAACGGGGCGATTTGACCTAATCCATCTAAACGGTCTTCGGACAAACTTCCAGCATGAACACGATCTTAGTCGAGCATTTGAGGCTTTCCTGCATTCTGTGCAGCTGACGACGTTTCTTCCAGGGCAGCAAAGTAGTAAACAGTTTTATTTTGTGAACCATTATTAGGTAGCTTTTTTGTTAAAAAGTCTTCTACCAGCATTGTCTGAAGAACGGCATAACAGGTGCTGTCGAGCGAACAACCGAAGCTTGTTCGGCAACGATCGAGATCCGGCGTACCGGAGCCTGCACGTGAAGAGACATCAGTCCCATGCAGAGCTTTTCCGTCGCGGGAGCAGAGCTTTGGATTCCGGGCGGGTCTTGTAACTCCGGACGCTTTTTACAATCACCCGGAGTCAGATTGTGCGACTTTGTAGCTAGCAAAAATCGCTGCTTTGAACGGTGGCAGCATTTCCAGGCCCGGAAGTGCAATTGCGTTTGCGATTATCCATATTAGAAAAACGTTCGAATATGAGCGTTCGCGCGCGTTGATTTGTGTATTTTTCTCCGGGTGCAACAGAGATTTGCAGATGAGGATTTCAGTTTAGATGGATAGTGACAAAAAGTGGTGCATAACTCTCGGGTCTAATCAGGGGCACATGCAGTGAATGCAAAAACGTTTTGTGAATTGTTTCTGTTGTTTCTAATTGGATTTGTCACTGTGATCATGGATATGCTTGTTTTCAATATATGTAAGTGCTCTTCCTCGTTTCTTTGTCATAGTTGCGGTGTTTGGTGTTTTTCGGCCTCAATGCTGAAGTTTCGAGAATATAGTAACAGTTGGGGTTCCAAAGACGCTGCGGCAAATTGCAGATATCCCGCAAGGAGACCGCTTGCAATAACGCAGACGACTTTTTGCAGCCTGCGTATAATAAAATCTTATCATCTACTCAGTTGGCATATGAAATGCAAATTTTTAAACTGTGTGGGTGGCAGTTGAAGATTTCTTGCAGAAAAATTGTTTGTTGGGGAACACATTCAAGGACGATTTATTAGTGAGAAAATGCCACCTTGGATAATTGACAAACTTTATTATGTGCAATCTCCCGTGGCGTATCTAAAGCGTATAAAGGCGTCGTATGGTAACCCACGAAAGTCAATTCGCTCTAGGTGGTGGCTCAGCGGTGGCTTAATTTTCCGTTGCTTGGAATCTGAAAGTTTTCCAATAGGATTACGAAACTATTCGATGTCAAACTTTGAATGAATCCCTTTTAATAAATGTTACTAAACCTATTCAAATAAGCATGAAAAAATTATAAACACTTTTACATTTTTTTAGAAAGTTTAATAGCAAATGTGATCCCAAAAAGAAACCAAGGCAAAGCAGGCAGACATTTTTTTATTGTCAAAAACAGGCTCAGGCAGTATTGCTGAAACTTTTGCTCGCAAGTAAATGTTGCCAAAAAAAGAATTTTTCCAACAATACCTTTATTTCATTTTCCGTGTTTTCTCTGCGAAAATAGTGTATACTAGTAATGGAAAAAGCTATTCATCAAAGTATAAAATTCTAGCCAAGTTACGAACAAGTCGAAAAAATGAGTTATAATCCATCTGTATTCGATTCACACCTCAACTACGTGATTTGATGATAAAATACTTAAATTAGGGCAAACATGCGATACTTTGAAGCTTCTTGCCTACTGACGCAAATATCCTCCTAACTGTTTTTAAATTAACTTTGAAGAAAATCTATTGTCTCCACTTTAGATAATAATAAATTATGGACGAAGTCCAAAATTTAAAGAGTTAGTTGTTAGCAGCACAAAACATGTCCATATAGTCGAAGAACTTTTATAAAATTGTAAAAAAGTGTTTTACCAACTTCATTAATAAAAGCGAGTTTAAAAATCCGTACCTGTCTGACAACTTAGACCAAATTTTCTTGATATCCTAATTAAGTATAAACTGTCGATATGTCGATAAATTGTCTGGTAATAATAATTTAATTTGCCCTTAAATAATTATCTTTAGATCATTTATTCACGTGAAATAGTCTGACACTTATCCAGATATAAGATGTTGGATGGTAAAATGTACTTACTTTTTATTTTATTAATAAATTTTACGACTTTTGACGATTTTTCGAAGTTTTCCTCATCGGTATTTCTTTAGAAGTTTGCTTTCACAAGTCGAGTCAATGGTTGCTTGCGAATGAATGAGTAAATCAAAGCTACCATGTTTGCTAACAGTGCTCAAAGGCTCAGAAATATTAATTGAGAAAAAATATGGAATAAACTGAACAGTAAAAGTGTGAAATCGTGTTTCCACAAATTTCAAATGAACTAAGTACATGGAAAAAATAGAATGGTTTTTACTGCTCATCAACTATATGCATAAAATAGTTCTTATAAAAAGAATTTTTATTCTATAATAATAGCTTGAGATTTTAGTTCTTCAAAATATGAAAGTTGTCGAAAAATGTCTGGACTAGTAGAATAAAAACGAGCGTTTGTCAATTAAAAATGTTAAAAATGTTTGCCTGCAAAGAGTAACGCTGGCAAATGAATAAAAGTTGATTTTAGTTAAACTTTAATAAAGTTAGAGAACCAACAGCAAATGATTGTCGAAGGAAATAGAGGTATGAAAATGCTTCAGACAAAAGCTAACTAGTAATTAACAGATAATAAACCAGACAATAAATGACCAGAGATATAATAGGTTTCAGTTAATAACACAAGTAGATATTCCATACAATCTACTTCAAAAAATTCAATTTACTACAAAAGCTGCATAATACGAAACAAGTTGTCAGATAAATGCTGAATGTCCATTCCAATTAAATTCGCCTAGTGATATTGGACTATCTAATAAAGCATCGGATAAAATCAAAGGTTTCACATTTAACTCTGAAATTAAACAGAGCAAATGGACACTTTAACATCTACTAGTGCTCGCAAACTACTATACCTATTACAATTTTTTATTATTTTTTTAAATCAATATGTGCGACAAAATTTGGAATTATTAACCTAATTTCCCCGGTTAAAATTGTTTCTTTAGCATAACAAAAACGTTGCACAAAAAATGGCAAGTTTTTTGATCAAAAACATAAGTAAAATCAAAATTTATAAATTGCTATTAGACTCGTTTATGGATCTCACTGACCGATACACAAGCCCTATGCCCTTATATGATGTTACATAAGCAACCGGAACAGCGAAAACCCCAAACGCCATCCTTCTTTCGGCTATCCATGAATTCAACAGTAAAAAAGCCGGTAGGAACAAGCTCCGTTGAAAAACGACATTGATTTCATATCTAAAATGCCAGCTCAACATGTTTTCTTGTATGGCCAGTTTTTCTGGGGTTTTTGATTAAGAGGAAGCCATGTCGATCGAGTGCATGTTCGAGAAGCTAAAGCCTTAGGGTGTATGGGCTTCAGCAGGAAGATATTGCGGTACTTTTCAAACAAATAATGTGGGTTAATTTGAAACGTACAAAACGTTTTTACCTCCGTCGCTATACCTTTCGAAAGATGTAATCACGTTTGACTGTTTTCTTATTTTTATTATGTTTCCTTGCTTCCTTGTTGTAGCCCGTAAATCCTTGCTCTAAGCCGTAAAGAATTAAAATAAAAAAACAACTCAAACCTATCTGCTCAACTAAACAATCCAATTCAGTAACATGATTTAATAACGAGCCAATTAACAGCCAGGGGGTGATTAAAATCAGCAACCATAAATCACCAGCGACCGGTGATTTTTAGAGCGTGAAAACACTTTTGCTCGCAAGCTAATCGGTGAGTTTATACGCATCAGAACCATATGCACCAGAGCATTTTCTGAAATCAGTTCACGCATTGCTAATCGAAAACTCAACTTAAATGACCGCAAACTCCCTCGAAATCGGCGCTCTGATAACCGACACGCTATTTTCCAACTGGAAAATGCATTACGGGTTACTGAAAATGACCAACGAATGCTCTATTTTTCCACTAGTTGCTTAAGAACCTGTTAAGCAAAGGCTAGCTAGGCTGTAGTAATTGGCCGATCATTTTTTACATATCTGGAAACTTAATACTGAAAATTTTTAACTAAATCAGTAAACATTAAAACCCAATTTCAATTCAAATATTCTGCCTAATCTAATGCAAACTCAAAATGGTTTAGTAAAGCTCGCTATAATGTTCAAAGCATGTTTTACAATTTTAGAATTGCGCGAATACAAAAAGGAGAAATATTAACCAGCCAGCACAACCACTTGTAATGAACACGGCAATGAAAAAGCCATTGTTACGTGCTTCCATAATTTGAAGCTTGTTAAAATTGAATACTTTTTCGAAAAAGAAACGGCTAAAAACAGGAGAAAAAGATTGTTATAGCAAATATTACATGAACTGTCGCAATACTCAGGAGTACCTGACCTCTGGTTTATCAGACCATTGCAAACCACAGGAAAATTCGTTCAAGCTATTAACAAATTATGCTAGTTAATATACGGTTTTAGAAATTTTGTAGGCGACAAAATTAATATGTAAAATTGCTAAATTTCGGGTTAAGCAGGGTCAAATATATTTTCTGAAAGTGGCGGTATGATTGGGTTTTTGTTCAACTAGTTTACCAATGTTGTTTTCAATTTTTTTCTATTTCGTAGTACTTAACCAGCTAAAACTCTTTCAATATAACTAGTTACTTTATGCGGACCTTAGCCTAGGTGTAGTTTTGAGTCGTGTTTTTACCAAAACTTTGTCGGTTTTTTGGAAAAATTTCGAAAGTTATAATTAATCGCTAAGTTTCAGTTACGATTTTTTATATTTGAAAATAAAAAAAATGCAAAGCAATTATAAACGTGTGTACTTATTCATAATGAGTGTTTTCATTACATGTAAATATACGTGAATTGTCTTGTAAAAATGCAGTTTGCTCTTGCAAGCTTTTCTGTTTTATTTTCGCAGCGAGAGCAGATCTTAATTCAACTTTTGGCAATTTAATGAGACTAATTTTACTAGTCACTTACAAGTATGAGAAACTATTTAGCAGTGCATATAAAAATTCCAGTGCAAAATCAATGCAAAAGACAGACAGTTTATACTAAAAAACATTGAGAATTAATACACATATTGACAGCGTTACAATGTCTTCCCTCCGATGCAAAAATATCTAGTAAAATAAAATAAACCACAAAACATATTAAAATAGACTATTGGCAAAGCACATTTCTCGTTCAGTCATTCTAACTTGCTTTACGGGCGATGAGACGAAACAACCAACACATGTCAACTGTTTTCATGTAATTGAGCCCCAGTTTTGTGAACAAAAAACTGTGGAACTAGCAGACATGATGAGTGCTCTTTTGAGTTTGGTAGCCATCTGGAACAAATTGAAATAATAATATAAAACTGCAACTAAATCAGAAGTTTGATAATGAATTAATTACTCCTAAGCTAAGCATTCATAACGCAATTAAATTGATGCGTTCGTTCGTTTCGTACCCAACAATCTACATTTGCAATCACGTCATTCTGAGCAATGTTTCATCCCGCTTGAGTCACGTTTTTCGAAAAATGTTCCACTAACTATAAGCAAGCAGGTAGTCTAAATATTATGATCCTATTTTAAACAAAGTTAAAGTTGGTTAGACACTCTCAATGGAAACAGGTTAAACCTCAAAACGTCGGTTTATAATAACGTGCATCCGGTGGCTCACCTGCCTACTGCACTTGTAAGGGCTTCACTTTTTAAGGGTATTAGTT